CTCCGTAGGCTTTTGCTCAACAACCTGGATGAAATAACAAAATATAAAATTTAGAGTGAAAATGTAACATTTATATATCCGACCTATCTGCAATGCAACACAATAGATGATCGTGCTACAGTGTAAAAACAATTGTGTGCACCACTGAAAGTGGCCCAAGTAAAGCTCATATTTAGTTGAATAATCCACTACACTAAAACTAGAACTCCCAAAATGCATTTACACTGCACAACAGTTATGGTTCACTTTGATCGTCTACTATTCACCACTGCAGTCAAAAGATCAGCGCAAAAAAAAAAAAAAAAGTTGTGAGCAAGGGACAACACTTCAGAGGTGATGCAAATTAACATGCTGTTTTTTGTGCATTTATGTTTACAATGTAACACACCTTCAGATGAGGTACTGTGGTTTCTTTGCATTGGATGATCATAAGCAGTGTAAAAAACTTGGGTTGGGTTTGTGATCAGTAAGACTTGTAATGTTTTTTTTTTTTTTTTTTTTTTTTTTAAGTCTCTTACCCTCATCAAGACTGCATTTATTTGATCAAAAATACTGAAAAAAAAATAATACTCCAAAATGTTATTACAATATAAAATAATGGTTTTTATTTTAATATACTTTAAAATATAATTTATTCCCGTGATGCAAAGCTGAATTTTTATCAGCTGTTACTCCAGCCTTAAGATCCTTCAGAAAGAAATTTAAGCGTAGAGCCCTATTTAGTGTTTTTCATGCATTTCATTAACTATTAACTATTAAGCTATTAACTCTTTCCCCGCCATTGATGAGTTATCTCGTCTTTTAGAAGACAACTCTTCCCCACCAAAGATGAGTTTTTACGGCTTTTCGTGTTTTCACTATTATACACTAGGGGGCGCTATTACACATCTTCTGAACAAGTACAAAACCTCCCGAACAAAAACACATGTGTACAGGACAGAGAAACAAGCGATCTCTTATGTAAACAGATGCATATTAAAAATAAGGCGATCATCAGCAATGGCAGCATATAAATGAAAACTGCATAATGTTACGGCGTAAAATGTTGATCCAGGAAGTGGTATATGTCTGTGCAAGCTTTGGAGGTATTGATGGAAGCGATTTACTGGATTTATGCTTTGATAATCGTACTGAATATTACCCAGATGTAGTTTTTGATAAAAAATGTGATTCTCACCTTTTTGTTCAAAATTATGCATTTTTATGAAACCTACCTATATTCAAGTGTCGATAAAAAAAGAATGCTTCAAGCTAGAATAAAACTTTAAAAGTAGAGGCTCTGATCTTTATTTTGGTGTATTGCATATTCAAATATTCATACAGAAAAATATTCTGGAGGCCATCAACTTTGAGTGAAAATCATCAAAATCGCTGGCGGTGGCTGGCAACTTTTTTCAAAAATGCTGGCGGGGAAAGAGTTAAGCTTGTTGACTCCATTTGATGTGCTGGGTCTTAAATGAGTGAAAATTACCATTCATCGTCCAGACACATTGGAATCAGGGCTTCATCGCGCCACAGTGTGACGGTTAGTATACGGCCTCCACACTTCAGGTCCAAGTCCAAGACTGGTATTTCTCCCATCTCAGACTGGGTCATTCTTTTGACCTTCACCTGTAAAAAGTAAAATGATAATAAAAATAATTAATACTTTATAATACAGCTTTATTTGTTAACAATAGTTAACTACTTTAGTAACAATAAAAATACTTCTAAAGAATTTATTAATCTTAGTAATTCCAACATTTACTAATACATTGTTAAAAATACAAGTTCTATATGCTAATATTAATTATTGAACCTGGACTAATGTGAATTATGAACGGTTGTATATTTATTAACTAAACATTAACAAATAAACACGGCAAGGTCGTTAATGGTAGATAATGCATTAATTAGCATGAACTACTGAAACCTTACTATAAAGTGTTACCAAAATATGAACCAGCCAGCGATGATTCTTTTGCTAATGTGTACGTAGATTGGTTGACAAACGGCTAGGGCTGGGTGATATCTCAAAAACGATAATATCGCAATATATTTTTTCTTGATAAAATAACAAGAGTTCGATATTACATTTATCCGCAAAATAGTTAATTTTAATAAAACGCAAACACTCGAATAATTAACTTTCACCGTAAAAAAATGAGGTTGCTACAATTTTTACAGATGTTACTGATTTTGATAATGAACATAAATTTACATCTGCATCCTAGCTCAAGCTACTACTAGTATCAAAAGTGCATTTCTAAGAGACAAAAAAGTAAACCATATTGCCCATTAGAACACGCAGGAACTTATTAATTTTTCTATTAAGATTTTTTATTTTTTTTTAAGGAAAATGACTGGAAAAGCGTAAAGAATTCAAAAACGTGTTTGTGATGTTATGACCATAAATAGTAGTTTTAAACCACAATTAAGTCTGGTTTCTACAACTTTCACTTTGGTGCTGTCTTTAAACTTGAAAGAAAGATTTGACATTTGTGATAATCATCAATATCGACTAATATGAAAAAAAAAAAACGAAAAAAAAAAACGCCATATTGCCCAGCTCTAATGCATCAGAACTTGAAGTGTTAGAACAGAGGTCACCAGACTCAGTTTGGATCTAAACTCTGAAGGACACCGGCCCTCCAGGACCAAGTTTGGTGACCCTTGTGTTAGAATGTCTATAAGACTAGGGGCCTCATTTATAAAATGTTGCGTAAAAACCATCCTAAATTTGTTCTAAGATCATTTCTCAAAAGTGCGCAAGTGCGATTCAGAGAACCCGAACGTGCGCACAAAAACACGTGCGTACGCCTCTCTTCCAGATGTGACATTTATAAATCGCAAATGATCTTGAAATTGTGTGCAGCTGACTGGTGTCAGATCTCCGCCTTGTAAACGCCCCCTAATTAATATCATTACCATATAAAAGAGCACACGCCAATATCCGAATTTCTGTGCTTGAGAATAAAGAGCACAAAGAAAAAAAAAACTTTACAGTCTGAAATTGAGGTCCTGCTGGTGGAGCTAGAGGTTCGTGCGGGACGCTTTTTATTTAATAATGTGTAATTATTCTGTGGACAAACAATGTGTGTGTGGTTACAT